GGTATACTTGAGTTTCTGAGAGATTCAAAGTTGGAATTCTGATGCGGATGCGATCTTCAAATTTTCATTTGATTTGGATTGGTTTATTCCGTGATTCGTTTTTATACAAGAATTGGGTATCATTGAGTGTATAGGTGTTCTAATGTGATCTTCTTTTGTATACATAGAGGCTTGCATTTTTCAGTTTGGTTATTTTTTGCAATTTTTGTGTTTTGAGGCAGATTATTTGTCTCTGGTTATATCTATATCTATTTTATTACCATTCTATTCAATCAGTCTAATTTCTATTCCTTAAACAGTCTCCCTTAGCTTTACAGCAACCCATATGAATATACAAATTAGAAAAACCGAGAGATTCCTTCAAGAAAACTAGTTTTGTCACCATTTTAGAAAATAGAAGGTGATTGATTCTCATATTGCTGGAAAGAACAATAATAGTGCATCGCCAAACGTTTATTTCCCACATCTACTGGTTTTGGAAGATGAAGATTCATTTTGTTAGGAAACCTGCAATATTACATGGACAAATTTTCTGTTCGAATTTTATGGATAAAAATGTATAAACTGTTACATTTTGTCCTGGTTTTCAGAATATACATCAAGGGTACCCCACTGAGAATTTGGTGAGATTTCTGAAAGCAAGGGATGGGAATGTCTCCAATGCGTATAAAATGGTACAACACATTCTATTCTAAGAAAATCCCGAAGAGTATCTGACTTGAATCAAGTTTATGTATTTCAAGTATTCTTACCAATCATACTTCATGTTTCAGCTGATTGATTGCTTGACCTGGAGGATACAAAATGAAATTGATAACATATTGGCTGTGAGTTTTCATGTTTTCTCTAAGTACAAGCATCATCAGTGTATGGACCAATTTTAGTCTTGACCAATGCATTCATAAAAATCTGTTACATATTCATATGCTTTAAGTTTAGCCAATTATTTTACTTCTACAAATACATTGTTACTTATTTCTCTTTGCTGAATGGCCATATAACAATCATGTACTCCAAATGGTAGAATGCTATATAAGAAGCCCGATTTGCAGTTTCATGAGCTTTATATCTATTCCTCTGATTCTTATTTCTGAAGATCATGCATTTCATCACTATCAGCATTATCAATGATGAAGTTGCCACCTCATCTGATTAACCTTAATAACTTGTAGGTAGAAGAACTTTTGGATGCTTATAATTTTATTGACTTAGAATCTTTAGCTTTAGATAAATCCAGATAAGATCTCAGAGAGTAAATTTATTATTTTAAATCATCGAGATCTACTGGTACGACATGCATACCAGAAATTACTTGCGCATCCAATAACCGTATCATGTCATCCTTGCTCTTCAAGGAGAAAGGTTAATATTTGACTTTTTTATTTTTTTTTTCACTTTTGATGCAAGTGGTTACTTTTGCAGAAGCCAATTATCCCTGCTGAGTTGTATAGAGCAATACGGGATTCTCAGCTTGTAGGATTATCTGGATACTCAAAAGAGGTAATGCTTAGATGCATCATTGGGAGCATATTTTTCTTTTGTTTCACCAGAATACAGAAATTGACTTTACCAGGAAAATAGATTCAAATCTTTTCACTATAATTATTTTTTCTCAGCATAACAAAATGCGGAGCTGATACACTTTTAACTAAAATGACAGATTTTGCATCTTTTTAGTCCAGCTCACGACCTTTTTACTTGTTAATCTTTTAGGGTCTTCCTGTCATTGCTGTCGGTGTAGGGCTCAGCACATTCGACAAAGCATCTGTAAGATGTCATGCTTTTGACTTATCTAACCTTGTCTAATTTTGCAATTTATTTGGATGAATTCTTAAGGAACTTACTGCTGTAAGTATTTTTGGGGTGTGATTTTCACTAATATCAATCTCCTTCATTTTAGATTCACTACTATGTCCAGTCACACATCCAAATGAATGAATACAGAGATTGTGTGATTTTAGTAAGTTATGGCAATTAATATTCAGACTGTAATACATATTTCTCACAATACTTAAATTTCTTTGACTTACTCTACTTCATGTTATAGCCTTCCGCATCAAAAAGATTTGGGCGATACATTGGCACTTGCATAAAGGTTTTGGACATGACTGGTTTAAAATTTTCTGCACTGAATCAAATTAAGGTATTTCTTCTGTTGCATAGCCCTCCAACGATATTTCTTCTTTTGTTGAATAGTTTATGGATTGTTTTCTTAATCATCTTAGGAGGACCAAAGCCATTAATTATCTATCCTTGTATTAAATATTGAAAATATTATTGTTTACAAGTAAATATTGACCATGTTAACTAACCGGGGTCACCTGTACTACTTTCCGTTGCAGTTGTTGTCTGTAATATCTACCATTGATGACCTTAACTATCCAGAGAAGACAGAGACATATTTCATAGTTAATGCCCCATATATATTCTCGGCATGTTGGAAGGTTTGTTACATATGGGCACATTTCAGTTTTCAGGTTATATGCACTTGATCAGAATTTAACAAATCTAATATTTCTACCTGCTTGCAGGTTGTGAAACCTCTTTTGCAAGAGAGAACAAGGAAGAAAGTGCAGGTTCTTTCAGGCTCTGGAAGAGATGAATTATTAAAGGTAAGGACACTGTTCTGGCACATGGTTTTTGGAAGGAATGATGCCTCTCTTAATTAAAATTTTTATTGGATTTGTGTGAAAATCATGTGAAGTGTCGGGTATGGTGGCCTCTGATCTCCCTTCTTGTAGTGAAACTATTCCATTAGAAATCTCTTATGGCATGTTTGGTTTAGTGGTTTGACAGTTTAGAAGAGAAAGAGGAGCTAAAATTTCATCTATCGTACTATCTAACCTGGTCTGAGTCAAGTCTGGCAAATGTTTCCTACTTAAGTAATGAGCAAGTGCACTACTCATTACAAAAGAGACAGCTTATTTTGATTGTGTCGTTCTTCTTTGAGAATCCTGACTCATAATTCATTGCAGATTATGGATTATGAATCTCTCCCACATTTTTGTAGAAGAGAAGGATCAGGATCATCTCGGCATTCTAGGAATGGAACAGTTGGTGATTGTTTTTCTTTTGATCACTCCTTCCATCAGGAACTGTACAACTATATTAAGGAGCAAGCTGCACTCAGGAAGCCTGCTGCACCAATCAAACAGGGTTCATTTCACGTGGATTTTCCCGAGCATGGTCCAGAAGATGTCAAAATTGCTGAAACTATTGAATCTGAGTTTCAGAGACTTGGGGATCAAAACCGGCTTTCTCATTCATTACACGAGCTTAAGATAAATGGGGACTGAAGCTGGATGAAAATTAATATGCATAGGCTGATGCCTGTGTTCCTCTGATGGCCTACTCTTAGAATGGCTTTTGGAGACTTGCATTATCTGTATGTAGGTTTGGGGGCTAACTCAAAATTACAAGTTGATCCACCTTATCAATCAGAAGTTTTTGGATATTCCAATACTCAAATGGAAGTTCATTTATAGTATTTAATGTACTCAACAGTGATATTGTTGCCTTTATAAAGTTCATTTCACACTTCATATTGTCTCATAAGTTAAGGCTAGACTCCATTGCATTGTTTACAAATTGCAGGTTTTACCTCACGGTCACAACACAGCCTGTTTGAGAGGATGCAGCAAGATACTTTGCTTCGGGTTTGGTTCCGCAAAACTTCTATAAATTGATCTGGCTCGTTTAGAAATTTCTGTTTTATTTTGGCTAAGAAGATTTAACCCCACTTAACTGAAAGAATGATGAAAGTGAACCTATTTAATTTATAAACATATTCAATTAAACTTACTCTTTATTCACATATTTTGTAAGATCTACCAGTATTACTCACTTACCAACAACTTGTTTCTTTCTATTTATAATTTAAATTGATTATAATCTATTCCCAAACAAACTAGTAACCAAGTGCAATGCAAAATGCAAGAATTTACGTTTGAACTAAGGATCGATTTGATTGCAAGAATGAAATTTGGGTGAAAAATGAATTTTAGGAAATTGAATTGCTTAAAACTTGTTTCACTGTGAATTGTCAATTAAATGTGTTTGATTGATATAATTTTTCACTTGAAAATGTTAAAATTTTCGATCTTTTGTTATTCGTTTGACTTTTTTGATGAAAATTGTCAATTAAAGAGAAAGAATTTGTTATAGTTGTGGATAGAATCTGTTTTCATTGTCCAAAAAAAAAAAACTGATTTCCCACCGAACCCAGGGGAATTGAAATTCCACAAAACCAAGAAAAAAAGGGTCAAAAGGGGGGGGGGGGGGTGGTGAGGGGATGGAAAATCAATTGCCAAACAAATTATTGCAATCAAACAATGAAAAATGTGGAAAATGGAATTTTTCTCAAATCAAACAGGCTCTAATTGTAGGTTGGAATGATTTTTTGAAAAGCAACTCAAGTAAAAAACTACGATTCCTGTACAATAATATTACAACATAATGAACAAACCTCAAACCCTACAAGAAAACAAGTCTTTTAGGTGATTCAAATTCAACCATAACAACAACGGGAACCAAATGTAAATCAGCCAACACCATAACCACATTCCTGCATATCTACTCCATTTCTTCACCCTCCAATGGCACGTGACTCCAAACTACGTTTTTTTCTAAGATATATGTGCAACAAAGACAACTACACAACTCTTAAGAATTTAGCCCAACCGCTTGTAGCAGTTATAGGCAAAGGCAACTGACATAGCAGCACCTATAACAGCAAGTGCGGCATAGGTGTCGTCACGCTCCCAGCATTCATACCATGTAGGCATCGAGCACACCTTCCGAGCACCAGCTCGTTTGCCACTACTGCTTCCAGAAACTTGCTTCTTGGAGTTCTTCGTTTCAACTGTAAATTTTGCTGCCCCCTTGGATAAATCAGAACTCTCCTTTTCTTGAAAAGTACGGTTTTGACAGCAAGGGGAGCTTTCATTTGCTGAACAACATCTTGTGCCATCCAAATGAGATCCAAACAAATTTGCACTCGCCTCATTTGTTCGTGTCGAGTCCTTTATGCTTGTTTCCACATTGGTCCCACTATGTACCTGTAGCCTAAGTTCCTGTGATTTTTTCTGCTCTTCTTCTGATAATCCCATCTGCCCCCTGAAAACCAAATAATATTGCACTTTTAGCTTGTGATGGTGGTTGCTCAATATTAGAACCTAAGGTAATGCAACTTAACTCAAAAATTAATGTGTAAAAATAGACATAAGAATTAAAAATTACCTCCATAGGCAATCTACAATTTCTCCTTTCTCAATATGTTGTTCCAGCAAAACAGGTACATCATCAGGCATAACATATCCATACCTGCAATATTAATCAAAACCTTTTTCTGTTTATCATACTTGAAATTTAGATAAGAACAAATTCTTAACTGCTAAAATAGTAGTAGATGAAAACAGACTTGTTTACCACATACCAGTGACCCGTGACTTCTTTTTTACCATTTGGTCCAAATATGATCACATTCCCTGCATACTTATGCCCTCCAACGTGTGAGCATGGACTGATGGACACTTTACCCTGCAGACCATGAGACTCTATCTCATCTTTGAATCTGCTAATCACTGAGGGTCCACAAATTCCACACCGTCTATCCCTTGTACCATGGCAACAAACAAAGATGTACCAACCTCTTAGAGCTTCTGGGCTTCCAGGCAACCACTCGCCATCCTTAACGAACATTTCCTCAACAAATGTGTCGACATCAAAATGTGTTAATCTCCTGCAATTTTAATTAGTATCAAATGCACTATGTAGAAGAAAAGGACATGTCATAAAGGTCCTTGAACCATTAAAAGATGAATAGTATTTTAACCTGTATCTGATCATGTCTGGAAAGATTAACACGTCGCCATTTGATGTCTCAGTTCCATCATGTCCCTCACATATTGTTAGGCGGGTCTAGAAGGAAGAAAGGGAAATGAAAATTAAACAATTTGGCCCAGCCATCACCATGAAAAGATAATCAATACAAATTAGTTCAAATGGCCACAGCGCTTGTGAGAGACAAACACAAGCAGATGTACACATAGATGACCAGAAGGCAACTAATTCATGTTCCAGAATTCTTATCGACCACGCAGACACAAAAAATTATGTAATACCATCCTTACAAGTCTTGGCCCTAATTTGAAGGTATATATAGAAAACAAGCAGAAATTCCCAGGAAAACTTGAAAGACGTAGTTGTTCCATTTTGCATACTAGAGACCGTAAGTTGCCACGATAATTTCCAGCACATCTATGACATAGTAACAAAAAATTAGAAGTATAACACAGATTAGTCTATATATTTTTTTAAGATAGAAGTGTGACATGCCAATTCATGTACAGGTGCATACAGATAAAGAAAAAACTCTGGAAAATTTTACATATCTTTAAATCCAGATAATATGTCACCAGTTTCAGCATTACTGCTCCGTAACACATAGTCATGCAAATATTCGTATTGATTTTATGCAACGGAACATCAGCATTGCTCCTATAGTCCTTTAGATCCACAAGATATAACATATCCAGAAATTTACGAAAATTACTCAAATAAGAGATTGAAGAGCAGATTAAAATCATCCCAGCTTTAGTCATTTCCATAATCTTCATTTAAAGAGACCATTTATTCCTAGATCAATTCCACTAAAACATAGAAAATTGGATTAAGTATAACCATATCACCGATCAAAAGCTTTTCCATTTGAAAAACCTTAAATCCAGCAGAAGATTCAAAAAAATAAAATAAATAAAAAATCAGAGCTTCCAGCTATAAATCCAGCAGAAGATTCAAAACCCACATACTCAAGCACCACTAAAAATCGTGCACATTCCATTAAACTTCTGAAGTCCTAGTGAAGAAATCAAGTTGAAGAAAGCCCATAAACCCAAACAAATTCCCTTAAAACAAATAATGACGAAAAAAGAAGCACAAAAAGATTAAATAATAAAGACCCTTAAACCTGTCGCTTCATATCAGCCTTCCGAGCAGTCAAAGTGGCAGCAAGAAGCCTGGGTAGCCGATCGAATTCCGCGGCCTCAATTCGCGGAGGCCAGACCTGTGGGTTCTTGTAACAAAGAAAAACATGGCGGTTGTAGAGCTCAACGGTTCCCACAAGCGAGAACAGTCGGAAATCAGGGCGGAAGAATCCATAATCAGCCTCATTAATCAATCCAGCGTCGAAACCTCCTCCCGCAAGAAATCCCTCGTTCTGGAAACTGCCGGAGGCGCTGCCGATTTGTGGGGTGTCAAGGAGGTAACTGTCTGGATCGGAAGCCGCCATGGGGGAGGAGGAAGAGGAGGGGTGGTGGGAATGGTTTAGGTATAGAAGAGGATCGTCCATTAGCGGATTCGACATTGGATTTTGTCGTAAAGAGTGAAATTTTTCCAGTTGACAGTGAGAGTGGGAGGGAGCTGGTCAACGTCTTTCTTTCTTAACCGACCAACTAAGAAATAATTAAGAATATAAAAGTCAATAAATGTTGTGTTCGAATTTCAAATCAAATGGAAAAGAAAAACGAATAACAATTTTCCACATCATAGTTCCTAGTTTGGGTCACGCAATTCTATGCTTTTTAATCTCACGATCTCAATTTGACTCTCTTTACAAGTTCATTTTAAAGATAGATTTAACTCAATATAGTTTGTTCGCATCGATTCTAATGAGGCAACTCGGACAAAATGTTGACCCATTTCGAAGTGATTAGAGAAGTTTAATTATTGAAAACTCATGCATGTGAAGTGAGGTCATTGACGAGGCCCGCTTAGTTAGATTGCTCAAAGTCATTATCTGAAAACATCATCACGAATAAATTGAATGAATATCCCCAATGACATCAACACCATCCATCAAAACAAATGAGAGATATGAATGTTTCACTTCTAACATTAGCATCATTATGTTCACCAATCAAAAGAAAGTAATGATTAACTACATTGCATGTAATGATGAATTCGACTACGGACTACAACATAGTTTGTTAACAATAAATTCTATTCGAGCAAGGGGTTGGCACACAACTCAAGGGTAGCAAGCCCTTGTTTCACGGGGTGTCTTTCTTCTTGGCACAGAAAGAGACAACGTGCGGCAGTAGTCTGCTCCGCTAGACTACCTTTCACCTTTTCTCGGTCGCGTCGGGACGAAAGAAAATTTGATTGCAATTTTGTAGAAAGTTTATAATAGAGAATTTGAATACATTGAAAGTAAATTGAACATTGATTAATGAAAACTGAACATTACAATTGATGAAAACAGAAAATTACAAATGCTGGTGCAGGGAGCGGACACCAGTGAGCTTGAAAGATTTTTGAATCACTAATACCCCCTATAATAGCATTCTGAACAAAAACCTAAATGACAGGAGTAGACGTTTAAAAGACGAGGAATCATACTAAACGTTTATTAATATCAGAGCTATTTTACAACTAAAATAAATATTACAATAAAAAGAAAATTACAACTCAAACTTGAAGTAATATTTACAATGTGCGGCTGAAGTTGGGCAAGTTGCGGCTGCGATAGTGTCAAGGGGCTAAGTAAATCTGCAGTCCTTGACATTCTCCCCCATTTGTTTTGGCGACGTCCTCGGTACCATCAAAGCATGATATGCTTCAATTAATGGTTTGAAAGCTCCGAGATCTTTTTCTCTTTCCCAAGTATTCTCCTCACTGTTGCATCTCATCCATTTGACCAAGTGCTCCTGATGATCTTTTCTAGAAGCTCGAGTGATTCGATGGTCAAGAATAGTTTCAGCAACCTTCTTTCCAGTTTTCTTCAGTTCAAACACAGGTCACTTTGGTTCATTTCTAGATGGGTCCTCCTTATCGGCAAAGTATGACTTCAACACACTAACATGAAGGACCTTATGGATTTTACACCATGAAGGGAGTTCAACTCTGTATGCAACTCTTCCAATCCTTTTCACGATGGGTAATGGTCCGATGTATTTTAGCGACAATCTTGAGTCCTTCCCTCTTGTTGGTTTGTAAACATTTTTGTCGGAAAGTTTAACCATTACCAGATTTCCAACATTGAATTCAATGAAACGACGCTTTAGGTCTGCAACATTTTTATACCGTTTTTGAGATTTTTCAAGATAACTCCAAGCAATTTCAATATTTCGTTTCCACTCTTGAGAAAAGTTATTTGCTTGAGAGAACTTGGTACTTCGTTCGATATCCACTGTATGAAGGAGTAGCGGTTGCTGGCCAGTAACAATCTCAAAAGGACTCTTATTGGTAGAATAGCTCTTTTGGGCATTGAAGCAAATTTGGGCTTCATCCAAAAGTTTTACCCAGTTTTTCTGCGAAGTAGAGATAAAGTGCCGAAGATATTCTTCTAGCATAGAATTGAAGCGCTCCGTCTGTTTGTCAGATTGTGGGTGAAACTAGAACTCATGTTCAAAGTTGAACCAAGAAGTTTGAAAAACTCAATCCAAAATATGCCAGTGAAACGAGGATCTCAATCACTGACGATGTCCTTAGGCAGCCCCCAGTATTTGACAATATGTTTGAAGAAGAGCTGAGCTGTCTCTTCCGCAGATACATACTTAGGCGCTGCAATGAAAGTTGCATATTTTGATAGACAGTCCACCACGACAATGATAGTGCCAAAATCCTCAACTTTTGGCAACCCAATAATGTAGTCCATCGATACACTTTCGAATGGCTGGGTTGGGACGGAAAGGGGTTTCAGCAAGCTCGCATTTTTCTGATGATCTGCCTTATCTTGCTGACAATTAAGACAGGTTTTTATATATGTTGCAATGTCGTCCCGCATTTGAGGCCAGTAGTATATACGTTGCATTAGTGCACAAGTGCGTTCCTCTCCGGGATGCCCTGCCCAAATTGTGTCATGACATTCTGTAATTAGTGATTTCCTCAGATCTCCACCCTTAGGAACATATAGGCGATCTCCCTTTGTCTTCACTAGTTCCCCATCGAGCCAGAACTATCGAGTTTTACCCTACTTGATGAGGTCGACCAAATATTGGGTAACCGGGTCCTTCTCCATAAGTGCTCGAATTTGGTCTCTAGTGTTTGTGAAGACTGCGCTTCCTGAAAGAGCAAATGGCAGCTAAATCGGCCCATCGACTAAGAGTATCAGCAACATGATTACTAGAGTCGAGATGATACTCTAACATAAAATTGAACTCTGAAAGGAATTCCTGCCAACGAGCCTGTTTGCTCGATAGTTTTGGTTAGGACATGAAGTGACTAACTGCAGTGTTATCTGTCTTCACAATAAATGGAGACCCAAGCAGATAGTGACGCCATCCTCTAAGACAATGGACAACTGCTAACAATTCCTTTCATGTGCCGAGTAACGACGTTCTGTCTGGTTTAACTTCCGGCTCTCATATGCTACCGGATGTCCTTCTTGCATGAGGACTCTACCAAGGACAAAATCTGAAATATCTGTATGAACTTCGAATGGTTTAGCCATATCCGGCTAAAACCGGGTTCGTCCACATGGACTTCTTCAACCTTTCAAAAGCAGCTTGGCATTGGGATGACCAATCCCAATCCTTATCCTTCTTTGTCAATTCAGTAAGTGGCAGTGCAATTTCTGAGTAGCTTTTCACAAATCTTCGATAGTAATTGCATAACCCAAGAAATGAACGTACATCATGTACGATTTTTGGTGGTTGCCAATCTTTGATAGCTGTAACTTTCTTCGAATCCATAATGATTTTACCTTGTTCGATGATGTGATCCAAGAAACTGATAGATGTCTGAGCAAATGAGCATTTAGATAGCTTAGCATAAAGTTCATTCTATCGTAGCCAATTAAAAACTTGCCTCACATGCTGGACACGTTCCTCCAATGTCTCGCTGTAGATTACTATGTC